CGAGCCGCATACCCATCAACAAGAGAGACCCCATTAAGTACGAACCGCCCCCCCCAACAGCTGAACCCCGTAACTGTCCCCCACAACAAGCATTTTGGGCTAAACACCCGTAAGGCAGGAGCCAGACCCCATAAGCAATAGGGGGGCACAGGGGCAGGCGAGCCGGGCGGGGGGAAGGTAGGGCAATGGGCACCCAGAGAGGGCTAGTGGCAGAGCAGGGGAGGAGGTTGACACAGACCCCCGCACAACCGGGGTTTTTCTTTATTTGTACAGCAGCTTGTTCCGAATACAGCGCAGGGACAGGGGGTGAACACAGGGAGTCCCCCCCCCTCCTCTCGGATCTCAGCATTGCTGGGTGGAGGGCTCAGGACCCAGACTGAGAGCACCTCCCACCCCTCAAAGCAGCCCCTCTTCCCGCTCCTGGTCTTTTGGCCGTGGCAGACCCAAGCTGAGCTGCCAGGCCTGGCCCTGACACAGTTCCGGGGCGCCTTCTTGGGCCGTGGGTCCGTGACAACACGTTGCACGAGGTGGGGACGGCCCCAGCCCCAAGGCAGGGCACCATCGCGATGGGCTCAGTCCATCTTGGTGGGCTCTTTCTTACGCTGCCTGGCCTCCCGGACGATCTTAGCCAGGGAGAGGAGAATAGGAACGGCCATGGGCAGGAAGAGCGGGATGTAGATGGCAAATTTCTGGTCATCAGGGAAGTAGAGGAGATGGAGCAGAGACGGGTCAAAGAAGGCCCGCTCCGAGGAGGTGACTGCCTCCTTGCTGGCCTGGAAAGCCGAGTGCAGGTGGCCCACGGCAAGCTTGGCCATGGCACTCTGCGCCGAGGTCACCGCTCGGTACACCTGTGTGGGAACACCACCAACAGTCAGTCCCTGGCCAGGGAGGACCGCAGGAACAAGCCTGGGGGCCTCGCTCGCTGCCAGGCCTGGGCACTCCCCACCTCAGGGTGCCCCAGCTCTACCTCAGAGGCAACATCGTCTTTGATGACAATGTTCCCAATCTTGTCCAGGAGCTGGGCCAGCGAGGTCAATGTGGTGGACACGGTGGCGATGTTCTCCACGGTGTGGGCCCAGAGCAGGCGGTCCAGCTCCCAGTTGGCCAGCCCCTCGTTCCCTGGGCTCTCCAGCAGGAACTCAGGGGGCAGCTCCTCCCGAGATAATCCAAACAGTAACCTGGGAGTAGAGGGGAAGGTCCCAGCCCACATCACAAGCCTGCGGTCCCACATGCAGTCCCGGCTCTTCCCCTTCCCTGGTGCATTCAGTCCTGGCAGGGCTCAGCCCACACCTGATGGCCTCCTGCACAAGGGGCAGGACAAGACAAGCCTCCCACCTCAGGATACGGGAGCTGTGCCAGCACCCCTGGCCAGAGAGCAGTGCTGGCTGGTGGTCAGCACCTCGAAGGCCACAAAAAGCCACCCTCAGCCTCCCCGAGCCCACGGAGGAGCGAACGAGCTGCATGGGTACGGCCTCCTCTGACCCCATCGATTCCCAGTGTGTCCCAGGAGAGCACGCAGAGGCCCAGGGAGGGAAGAGCGCATCCTCACCGGAGCTGGGCCAGGAAAACCTCCATCACTCGCACCATGTCCACGTCCACGTGCAGCGGGAGGGAGGCTTGGGGGGAAGCAGGGGTTTCAACGTTGTAAACCTGCAGGAGAGCGTGTCAGCGAGGCACAGCCAGAGCCCTGGGGCTGGCAGGGCTGCCAGCACTCGCTGGGGATGGGGAGTCGTCGCCTTGCCCGAGCGCTGCCAGCACCCCGCGGCCCCGTACCATGATGCCGCCCCAGCGGGGGCTGTGGAAGGCATTGGTGCTCACTGGGGCTCCGTCCTTGTCCTGGATGTACAGAGGGGAGTGGGAACGCTCTGGCACGTACAGCAGGAAGTTCAGGACGGGGTAGAGCGAGGCAGCACTGGAGCCTGCAGCGGGACAGAATCAAAGAACTCCCCTGGCCAGCAGGGACAGCGAGAGCAGACCGCCCGTGCGCAGCGCTGGGGCAGAGCCCAGCCCTGCTCCTCCTTCCACAGCAAGCCCTCAGCAGAACTGCCATCGCAGCAGGTCTCGTCACCCTCGCTCCCATCCGGGGCTGGCAGGGCATGGTGCTGTGGGGAGGGAAGGGGCAGAGGCCATAGGCACAGCTGTCCCCCCTCCCTCAGCAGAGCCCGTGACAGCCGAGTCAGGAGCGCAGTGCTCACCCAGCCTGGCCTCCACAGGGTTGATGACATGCGGGAGGCTGTGGGCGCTCAGGAGGAAGCTGGAGGACTCCTTGTCAAAGCGCGGCGTCACTCCTAGGACAGCGTAGTACAGGATCTGCAGGCACACCACAAAGATGTTGCTGGCAGAGAAGCACGTCCCGGGACGCCCGGGAAGGCCAGGGCTGGGCTCTCCCCATCACCTCTCCCAGCCCTCACCTGCGAGTCAACAGAGAAGTTGGCCACCAAGCTCAGTTTGTCCAGGACGGGCTGCACGTAGCGGTTCACGGCATCCTCGATGTCCCAGTCCACGGCGTGGGACTTGGGGTCGGGGTTCAGCAGGCTGAAGGTGATCTCGTACCCTGCCGAGGACCCACAGCCTGTGAGGCACCGGCACAGCCACCGCCTGTTGATGCCAAGGCATCATGGGCACGCGGCCATGACAGAGCTCCCAAGAGCAGCAGGACCCGATCCCCTCCTCCTCGGCCCTCCCCGATGCAGGGTCGTGCACCAGTGCCCCAACACAGAGCAGTCACAGCAGGGATCCTGGCCCAGAGCAACTGCCGAGGGGAAAGGGAAGACCCCAGGGTCTGTTACCCCAGAAGACATCCAGGGGTGCTACAGGTACAGCAGGAGCAGTGTCTCCCCCACAGCCAGCGGGCCTTCCCCAGGTCAGGGAATGGGGCTGGGGCACATGTCCGTACCCAGGCTGGATTTCAAGTGCCGCCGGGCGTCAGGGCCGAGCTGGCCGTCGGGCAGGCGGTCCGAGAGGGCGGCGGCGATGGAGCTGGCCGTGAAGGACATCACCTGCGTGAGCTGCTGGAGGCGGGTGCGGAGGGTGGCCAGGCCCCCCCCAGCCCTTACCAGGGCGCTGCGGTGCTTCCCCACATAGACGTTGATGCCCTGGGGAAGGGGCAGGGGTGAGGGCCGGGAGCGGGGCTGGCTCCTGCCAACACGCTGGAGAACAGCACGGTGCCACCTGCGACAGCCTGGGGACGGATGCCTCCTGCCGGGGCACCTTCAAGGGGTGAAGTACACAGAGGCCGGCACTGCAGGGTGCTGCTCCCTACCTGAGGCAGGTGAGAGGAGGTTTCGGGGACCACGTACACGGTCAGAGCGCCCAGCGAGGCATCCTGCAGCAGGTGAAGAGCAGCGTCAGCCTCTGGGGAAGATGGAGGCATTAGCAGGGTTGGGAATTTAACTCCAATCCCCGTCCCACCCTGAGACGCACCAAAGCCGAGCGCTCTGCTCAACCAGCCTCAGAAAGAGGAGCCTGCTCCCCCACGGAGCTGCACCAGCTACCGCGATCCCTCGTCCCGCTACCTCGTGCAGTAGCCACATCCAGCGCTGCCTCCTCCTGAGCCGTGGTGCTGCGATAGACTGTCTCGTAGCGGGACGTGATACTGGTTCTCACTGCCGGGGCAGAAAGCCTGAGTGAAGCCGCTAGTCCTGGCCCCCAGTCCCTTCGTAGGAGCCAGGTGCTAAGAGGGACAAGGGACAGCCCCAGGAGGACACATGCCACAAGGTCCTTTGGGCACCAGATCTAACCTCAACCGAGTGACCCACCCTGACGCGTGGCCTCAGCTGGTCCGGGGTGGCAAGCAGGACAGCCCCACGCCAGCCAGGGCGCGTCCCACCCTCCGAGGGCTGCCACCGCCCCCATCCCCAGGGAGGGGAGCTGGTCTCTTCCCTGCTGCACCCTGGGGACCTTGCTGTCCCCTCTGCTCCCCTGTACTGCCAGCTCAGGACGGCACGATGCTGGCGGACGTGGGTTCGGGGTGCGGGGAGCTCGGGGCTGACAGCCGGGGAGAGAACCCGCGGGCACGCAGGGACCCCCCGGGGAAGGACGAGAGCACTCGGGAGGGACAGACAGGGCGGGGACAGCCGGAGGGGACTCTCACGGTTCACGGAAATCTTCATC